ACAAACAGCTGGCTATCGTGCAAAGATAAGGCGACATCGGCGAGACATCTTCCTTGAGGCTTCCACTGCCACGCGTCATAATCAGCCATTATCCCGCAGATAACTCAGCGTCTAACATACTTTAAAAAGGCAATCCGATTAGAAGACGGCAGCAGACGCGCCACTGGTGTCTACTGCGAGCCATGTCCTGCAAAGTCTCGAGCCAAGCACAAGGTGAGTCACGTGGACTCCAGCCCGGAAGGCGAGATGGACCAACGGCAGCCAGTTTGGTTGTCAGTGACTTCATTTCCCGCTGCCAAGTCAACTTCTGTCCACCTCGAGCCTTGCGCCATCCTACACCCGGTAGACTGAACAAGGCCCTCCTAGGTAAGCGGTGAACAGGCATGCGTAGCACGTGTCCGAGCCAACGAAACTTATTCAGTGCTATCTGTTGTTCTAGGGTGCTATCATGATTATCGCTACCTAGTACTCGCCTACGCACATCATCGTTGAGTATACGCTGGTGGCATCCGACACCAGCAGTGCTTCGCAAACAACGATTATCAAAGACTTGAAGGCGCCTCAGTACTTCAAACCGAAGGGGCCTAATCTCACGACCATAGAGCAGAACGGCCCTCACTGTGGCCTTGTATACACGGCCTTTCAGACGGAGGTAAATTCCCTTCTGTCACCAAAGATGCCGCAGGTTCAAGAAGGCAGCTCTGGTCTGGTAATTATGGGCTTAACTCTGAACCGACTGACAACGGCGAGCGTCTGCTGCAACTGTGTGCGGAGCACTAGTTGTTTCTTAGTAGCACTGCTTTTAGACACGGCTTCGAAGTGCCACTAGGCGTCCTCCTGTAGCTGGCCAGCGATGGACCAAAGTGACCACATTGCCCTGAGTTACAGATGGCGTGGTTCCATCCTGGATTGTCACTCGTACTGGAATACCTGAGCCAAATCTGATCATGCCATAGTACGCCGTCCTTTCTCCATGAAGTTTGCCGAGAGGAACACCAAGCGTATCATCCGATTAGCAATTGAGAAATTGTCTCAGCCCTCGGTTAGACAAGCCTACCAAGACGCACTGCGTACCGTACTTTCGCTGTCTTGTCCTAATGCCAGAGCTTCAGTGGAATAGGATCTCGGCCGCCATGCACGACGCAGAAGCGTCTACTTGTGGCACTATCAATCATCACCGTACCGTGAGGTCGGTGAACCTGTTGGTATCCAGAAGAATCCTCGCGGCTGGCTCTGAGCACAATGTGACCAGACGGGCTATTAGGCGCGAACTAAAGCGGAGCCTATGTGCTGACAAGGAAGCCTGGTGGACCAGTAGGGCACAAGAAATGAAGGAGGCCGGAGCGGTAGGCAATTACCGCACGCTCTTCCAACTGATCCGCACTACTGGTCCCAGAAAAGCAGGGGTCAGTGAGACAAGCAGAGACATCGCGGGTGCATTGATACACAATAAGGAGCGCCGTATGGCTCGTTGGGCGGAACGCTTTCAAGATCAGTACAGTTGGCTCCCTGCTCCCGGACCTCTACCTACTCAGGTGAAAAGGGACGAGCCATGGAAGGTTAGTTTAGAGCCTCCGTCGGAGGCCGAGGTCCGAAACGCGATCACAGCCCTCAATCGTTTTCGTGCCGCTGGCCCGAACTCCCCCCACACCTGCACTACTTAAGGATGGAGGTGAGGTCCTCTGCAAAGCACTGACCTCCCTATTCAAACAGGTCTGGAAGCGTCCCGGCTAATTGGAGCGAATCGATTGTAGTGACAGTATACAAGAAGGAGTCGTACAGACTGTTCAAACCACAGGAGTATTAGCCTAACGCCAGTTGTGACAAAAGTACTGGCCTCGATTCTCGTTCGTCGCCTCACTGTGGAACGGGAATCTCGGATTAGGCAAGAGCAGGTGGGTTTACTCCCAGGACGTGGCTGTAAAGACCATTTATTCACTGTGGTAGGTGCTAGAACGGCGCCACGTATACCGCAGACCGACAATAGCAGTGTTCCTCGATTTCAAGAGTGCGTTTGATCCAGTCGATCGAAATACTTGCGCGGAAAGGTGTTCCCATGAAATATGTGAACATCCTGCGTGTACTATACACGAACACTACAGGCCGCGTCAGGATCTACGGTTAACTGTAGGATAGATTTCCGACCACAAGTGGCGTTAGTCAGGGTTGTCCGATATCCCTGATTTTCTTCAATTTTGTCGTAGACTCTATAATGGAGTGTTCCTTGCGGAATCTCACAATGTAGGCGTTGAAGTTCTAACTGGTGAAATGATAGTTGATCTCAAATCAACAAACATCAACAACAGCAGTACATCAACCATTTGAACAGAGGTCTCGCTGCCCTAAAACAATGGGGACTTATAGAATAAAAAAATGTTAAGTAGGGGCGGAGGAGGACTTTCCGGTTCAGAGCATAAAGAAATTGTTTGACGAATGTCATGGTATTGCGTGAGCAGGATATTGTCAAATTGCCCAGGCCTAGACTGGAGAACGATTAGGGTTCTCAAACAAAGCCTTCGGTTTAAAAACCTGAGCACAAGGCAGCGGGTTTGGCGTTGGGTTACAAGGAGTTTGTTCTAAGGAATAAGGAGCCACCCTCATTCTAACACGTAGCCTGGAAGATAAGAAGACTGAGTTTGTCTGGCCTCTAACCATTGACTCATCTGGTATGAGTGGCTCTGAGGGTGCAAAAAAGCACCATTCAGCATAGCTCAATGGATCTCTGAAGCATGTAAACCATCGCACGGTAAGGTGCAGCCTTATTACGATGGATGCCCATGAAGACATTTCGTCTAGGTGAGGTTGCAGTAAAACTTCATTGATGGGAGTCGATATCTCCCTCCACACTTTTAAATCATTGGCAAGTAGATTTAAGACGTCCTGCTAAATCATTGATGTGGAACAGGAACAGTGTTGGACCAAGTACTATGCCCTGTGGCACACCACTGGAAGCGGTAAACCAAGGCGTTCGCTAGTCTGGAAACAGTATAGTGTTGCTCATCCCAACACTGGCACCCCAAGACCGCGGTTTCGTCCTGGTTGGGACTCATCAGTTGGAGATAGCCTGAGCTGGGCTGGAACTCAGAGCCTAGTGGCTCATGGTTGACGCCATAAGCACTATGCCACTGAGACCTGCGAGCAACGCTTGGTACAGCGGAAACGAATTCAAAGTTGGACTTGGAGAATCCGCTGGTGGTTGGGTTGCTACAAGCAATCTCTATTGAGACCTCGGTTCACTTGAGTTGGACCTCACATGGCTCGCAGTAGACACCAGTGGCGCGTCTGCTGCCGTCTCCTAATTGGATTGCCTGTTTAAAGTGTGTTTGATGCTGAGTTATCTGCGGGATAATGGCTGATTATGACGCGGGGCAGTGAAAGCCTCAAGGAAGATGTCTCACCGATGCCGCCTTATCTTTGCACGATAGTCAGCTGTTTGTGACGGTATGTTGTCTACACAAGGTGTAGGCGCCTTGACCCAGAATGTTTGCTTAGGGCATTAAGGTTTTCAGGTAAGTCCCTCTTCTCTCCCTCTTCTTATTCTTTATTTCATAGGTCCTCATGGTTGTATGGCAGCGAAGCATCAGTTCAAATGGCTGATGTACTGCTGTTGATGATGATGATGGTGGTGGACCTCACCTCGTGAACTTTGTCCACATGGATTATCGTCGTCGTGATCTCATGTACAATCGATGAATCCGAAGGGAACTTGGCCCAACTTGGACAGATCGACTAGGCGCTACAAGTGGAAGTTGTTCGATAAAAAAGTACTTCACGTCCAGAGACTTGCCTATAAATCCGTGTGATGAATCATTGGAACAGCCTGCCGGAGATCATTGCTGTCGCACAGATAGAAGAGTCTTAAACGACAGCTAGACTGCCATGTGTCCGGCCCGCACCCTTAAGGATCACAAGCCTGCCTTGTAATTCGAGGGCGTGGGTCCGAACCTGCGTAGGGTACCGGACGATCTTCGCAGTATCCTTAGCCCAGGTGCGACCGCTGGTGGTTAAGCGGCAGCGAAGCGTCGGTACTGCCCACCAGCGTGCTCATGATGCATTTCTTTCATTAGATTGCCATTTGATGAGTACGACAGGATCGTGGCTGCTCCTAATGTGACAGCGGCGAGCCCGGAAGGAATGCCGCCTCGCAGCTAGTTACGTCAAACCTTAACTTAATAGGAATCGACGGAGCTAACAAGGATCTTCCATGCTGCTCTCTACATACCAATGAATATTGGATTGTAGAGAGCAGAAGGGAAGTCCTTTGTCAGCTCCTTCACTTCCCGATCATTGCGTGGAAGCCGTGAATCGTTTTGAAGCCGTATTCCATAAGGGGCCGCAACAGCTACATTGGACGCAGCAAGATCCCAGCTTACTCATCAAGTGAGAAACCAAAAGTCGCTTGAAGCATTACTCAGTCCGGGCGTCGACCACAAGTTCCGGCAATTCGTTCCAGTCATTTACAACGCCGGTTGATAGAGCGAGAGCGGAACGAACTCTGAGTCTTCTGGGTTTAAATAGTTTCCAGGTGTGCCCCCGAGTTAAACTATTAGAGTTGACATGAAAGAACGCCTGTAGCTCCATCCCAATCTCCCCCACAGGATTCTCCTAGTAAAAATCAGGTCACGATATCGATATTCCAAGAAGAATAGCTGCACCCGATGAACTCAAAGACGGTAAGGCAAATCCCTTAACTGCTAGATGGATTTCGTAACACGCCGCTGGACCTTCTCAATCACGCCACATTCGAACATGTTAACAGAACAGGTGGCGGGTACTCTGTATTCAAGGATAGAGCGTACATGGGAGGTAAACAGGACCCCAAAGATTTCCGGAGTCAGTTGAGATAAAAGTATGTATGGCATGGGATATCCAGTTGGCGGCGGCAATGCTTACTGAAATCCCGCTAGCGGCAAGCACGCGTTTTAATAAAACCAAGAACGTTAAAAATAGCCCAGAAACTAGGTCCACACATAGTACTATATAGCAATAGTGAAACTCACTTTATCTTCACTAGTGAAGCTAGAAACCCTTGCGGGATATGCCTCCGGCATTTCTGAGAGCGCATGAGCAGATATGGAGTGACTGCGAATATCAGAATCAGAATCAATTTATTAGGAGAATAAGATAGGAATATATGTGATCTCCATCATAAGTAAAGCAAAAATGACCCATGCCGAATATGGGTCTGTGTGAATGCACATCAATAGTCATTTAGTAATAAGCAAACAAAATACCGATATATAAGCACAAAGAAAGCACTACGTGTCTTGGTCTTTTGGGGTTGCTAGTGTAGCCGTGACATAACCACGCGAAGAAAGGAGGTCAAACATGGCGTCTGCATCGAAACACAAGTCTGAAAAATGTTTGTCAATGCTTCGTTTGAAACACTGCACTGAATCAGAAAGAACAACGGAACTGGGCAACCAGTTCCAGAAATGTATCACACGTCGCGCGAAACAGTGAATATGAGTGACATTGTCCATACGTGGAACTTCCAGCTTGTAAGAATGCCCTCGGGTAATAGGTGCATCCACAATACAGAACATATGTCGCAGGTGAGGAAAATGTCTCAAGTGAAGGATTCTAAACGTTGTAATGAGGTCAATTCGTAATCTCCTGTATACTAGTGTGTGGATACGTAACTTGTGGCACCTCTGATGGTAAGATAAGCCTCGGAGCGTGGGGATCAGGCGGGTGACTAGGTGCTGGACTTTTTCCAGTTTTCTCATCTCACCTTTTGTACTTGGATAATAGGCCGGTGCCCCGTACTCTAAAAGCGGGCGCACCATGGAGACGTATAGCCTGACAGCAATTTCCTCCGACCAAACGTGGAAGGTCCGCTTTAATGACCAAAACATGCGAAGGCTGGAACAGTAGACCTTGTGCGTATTGTCTGACGATTTTAAGTCCCATCGGGATAGTACTCCTAGATGTCTAACCGTCGCAGCCGAGCACAGTAGACGTCCACCGACACTGTAAGTTCTGTCCCGACAGCACTTGCAAATGCGGAGCAATTCGGACTTTTCAGCATTCAGTGGAAGGCAGTTTGTTGATGCCCATGAGGAGATTGTATCGAGATCACTTTGCAGTATATCTTCATCGACAGGGGTCGATATTTCCCTCCAAACTTTGAAATCATCTGCGAACAGCGCGCAAGTAGATGTCAAACGTCCTGGTAAGTCGTTGATATGAAACAGAAAAAGCGTTGGGCCAAGTACTGTGCCCTGTGGCACACCACTAGAGGCAGTACACCATTTCGTTCGGTAGTCATTGACCTGGACGCACCACTGCCGCTTGTCCAGAAAAGACTGAATCCATTTCAGCAGTTTTCCACCCACCCCATAACTGTTGAGTTTAGATAGCAAGATAAAGTGATTCACTCTATCAAATGCTTTGCTAAAGTCAATCAGCAAGGCATCAACGCTCCTACCCTCATTAACTGCTTCAATCCAACTGTGTCGGGAAGTCAGAAGATTCGTGGTACAAGACCGTCCTCTTAGGAAACCATGTTGAACTGATGTAAGCACACCGTGTGATTCTGCGAACTCAAGCAGCGCCTTCTTGACCACTTTCTCCAGCAATTTGGCCAGCACTGGTGTCAGGCAAATCGGTCTATAGTTCTCTACTCTGCTTCTGTTTCCTCCTTTCGGGAAGGGCCGTACGATCGCTTGCTTCCATTCACGTGGGACGTTCCCTTGTGTCAAAGAGGCCTCGAACAATTCCGTCACTGCAGGTGCGATAACAGGTGCCAGCCTTTTGAGAAGTAGTGGATGCAAGCCATCAGGTCCCGGCGGTTTGGAGCAGTCTAGCTTAGCAAGCAATCCCCTTACTTGGTCCTCTGAACAGGATACTGTATCCAGTTTGGCGTCGACTTGGGTACACTGAAATGCTGGAGAAGCTGAGTCGAACACTGCCTCGAAATGTGAAGCAAGTGCGATAGCTCGGTCCTTGTCGGCGGTCAACAGTGCACCAAGCGAATTTTCCAAAGCAGGCAACTCATCAGTTGGCTTAAGCTTGCGCTTGATGTATGCAAAAACCTTTGGGGTGCCTCCTTCGCATCTGCTAATAAGCGTGTTTCATAAGCCGCACGCTTCTGTAGTTTCACTGAATTGCAACAGTTTCTTTGTGTTTTGTAAGCTGTGTAATCTTCAGCGCTATGAGTTTGTTTGAACCTCTTCCACAATTTTGCACGTCGCCTCGACAAGACAACATATTCGCTGTCCATCCATGGCGGCCTCTTCCAACATTTTATTGGAGTTAAAGGAGCAAACTGGTCTAGCAACTGAACAAGGTTTTGCTTCAGCACCTCCCAACACACTTCAACACCGTCATTCATAGGTAATGACCAGTCCATGTGTTCCGCAGTACTCATCAACCGATCCCAGTTTGCTTTCCAAATGTTACGACGGGGTATTCGTAATGATACAACAGATGGCAAACGTAGGACGGCTGAAATTATGGAGTGATCGCTGGACCCAATGGGTTCAAATACTTTAGCGGATTCGACATGTTGCTCATCGTTCGTGAAAAGGAGATCAAGCCAGCTTTCAGGTTGCCCTGGAAGCTGCCTTGTTGGTTGCAGGATATGTTGCACAGCGTGCATCTCCGCCATTGTATCGATAAAAGCGCATTCGAGGTTGCAACTGCCAGGTAGCGCTTTATAATGCGGCCAATCAACGTGTGGAAAGTTAAAATCACCAAGCAACGGAAAATTTCGGCAGTTCAAGCGCTGCTGCACTACGTCGATCCAATCACGGGAAGTGTTTGAAGGACTCCGATAAATGGCTCCCACTCTCAGTTCATTCGGTCCAACAGTAACTCTGCACCAAAGTTGTTCGCATAGGCCGTCGGCACTATAATGTGTAGATATGAGTCCGCCTCTCACGCTGGACTTTATATATAACAATACTCCGCTTTGAGCGCCCTTGGGTCGTTCGCACCGAAATGTCGTGTATCCATCGATGTGAATTTCAGGATCATTAATATCACCGTGGAGCCATGTTTCAATCAGACAAAATAAATCTGGGCAATGTTGTTCTACCCAGAGATGTACCTCATCAAATTTATTGGTGAGGCTGCGAACGTTCGTGAGCGCCACAGTGAGACCGGCAACTAGCTTAAGGCGCGGGCCACTAGCAACACCGGCTTGTTTATCAGCTGGCGCTTCTGCACTACTCGAAATTTACGATATGTATGTTGCTCTCACCTTGTTGAGTTCGCCGTTTAAGTTCAATGGTAGCAGTTTGAAGGTGATTTCGTTCTTCCAAAGTGAGGTCGGCACGCACGTGGATTTTCAGGCCGTTTAGACGCCAAAGTCGGGACAGAAGACGCGCTGGGGTGACGTCATTTTCAAAAACAATTCGCAACGGACGAGGCGTGTTGGCCGTTCGTTTTCCCACGCGTAATACTCGTTTTATATGAATACCTAGCTCATCGGGGTCCAGGAGTTTATCAACCAAATTTTGTAAGAACACGACATCATGCTCATAACGAATTCGCGGGTCGGAGCTCTCTGACTCCGGGGCATGAAAGATCATCAGACAATGGTTGCGAGGATGGATCAGACCAGTTTCGGACAATACGGACTGCCGCGTAACGGCGCTCGGAGTCAAAACTGGAGGTCTCTTTCCCGCAACAATCCAAGGTGACTCGTTTCTGGTTCCATGATCGGCGACTGTAGTAGGAGGTGGCTCATCAGAGATCCGTAGTGCTTGCTCCGGTTTACCAGTTGATAAAATCCCGCTGCATGGAGGAACTGTGGGCAACGTATTCAGGTTGTCGGGGGGACAGGTGCGACACAGGTCTTCTACTTGGTTGGTCGTATTCTTTGGATGGTCACCGAGGGATATCGCGCTGCACTTCCTGGCTCTTCTAGCAGTAGGAACGGATGAGCATCTCTCAAGATTCTGAAGCGGTGGTCGTCTTGCCAGTGCAGCTGCATCAATGCAATACCGACAGACCCATAACAGGCCTTTGTGTTCAGCGTAGATCTTAAAAAGCGATTCCGTAAGTTGCGAACAACGCTTGTGACCACAGGCCCAGGACTTACAAGCGATACACTGAATGCCCTGAGTAACCAGTTTTGAGCAGTGTAAACAGAGTGAGTTGGGCATGACGAAATCCGAAGCAATAGCTAACCCAGATATACGATCCCTCACGATAAATTGAAAGCAAATGTTCACGACCCGAGAACTAAGAAAGGACGACGCTATCCGCTAGTTCAAATTCAAGTTCAAGTTCAATTGGGACCGGAACAGTAGGAAAATCCCGCGAATGTTCCACCTTTGAAAAAGTCGTTGATCCAACAGGGAAACCGGCACCTTGATGTGCCAAAGGAGAGCCAAATCAACACACACGATTCATATGGTCAACCAAACAATGCCCACGTGCCCTGCACTAGCAGTCCCCGCTGTGCCGGCCACGTGAAGAATAAAAGAAAACAGTAGTGTCAGTAAAGAAAAGAAAACAGAGAAGGCAAGCTAATCTAATTTCGTAGGCAACATTAAAATGTAAGTTAAAATGAGTTAAAGAAGCGTAAGCCGTAATAGACGCAGAAAAGTTTAAGACACGAAGGGGAAGACTTTAAACTGCAGACCGAGAGGGTCAAGTCGATGCTCGAACTCTTTGAACGTCGGTGCCATCACGACGTCTGCAGGCAATGTGTTCCAATAAGCTATAACCCTACGCGATAATCTAAAAGTTGCCAAAACCCGGTCAGACCGGGGTTTGTGCAACTTTAATGGGTGGCCACGAAGGGTTGGCATTCGAGTTGGGCGAAACAGTCCAGTCAAATCAGGACCAGTCTGACCCATCACTATACGATATGTAAGGACCAAGTCGCCCCGAAGCCGCCTGTAATACATGGTCAGGTCAGGTACAGTGGACGATAGACGCTTTCCCCTAAAGTGCGTCCTGTTTCTTGTACAGTAAGTGAAGCGGACCACGGAACTTTGATGTTGGATGGGCTCTGCTTGCTTCTGCATGGGAGTGGAGAGAGGTCAGGTCAGGTCAGGTCAAAATCCGTGGACGATACAGGCTTCCGCCTAACGAG